GTTTTAAGGATGTTGAAAACAACTCCATAATTAATGAGGGAAAACATGTCAGAAAAAGATTAGATCTCAAAAAGTATAAATTGCTGAAAAAGCAAAAATCATAACCAGAATGTGCTGAAGAAGCTGAATGTTTTGGTGTTTATATTGTTGGATTGGAACAAAAATTACAGAATGAGATACGTACCGAAAAACATAATAAAAATTATTTGAATAATTTAGATGAGTAACTTTGCTTTGTTTAAATATCATGTAGCTAAGTTTTTAGGTTCAGGTGAACAGGGATATGGGCGTGTCTCTGGGAGAATAATAAAAAAACTGACAATCAGGCAGGTTGTGATGCAGGGACTGACCTTTATACTCCGGAGTGAACTCCTTCATTTCAGGAGGCAGAGACTCGTAGAAGCGCTGCTCTCTGCTGATCAGAGGCTTACAAACCGTGTGGTCATCGTAACGCATCATGCTGGAGTGGCCCCCCACCTGCAACAACACACCACGGCTAATTTTAGCACRGTTAAAGGTGGCCATCTTGAATTCAGTTATTTTAGTTGTCCAGGTCCGTCGAGTGATTCCGTTGAGTTTCATTAAAAACCTGAACACACCTGATGTATGAAGGGCTCCAGAGGAACGCCTCCTGATTGTGATTGAAGTGAAGCTCCTCCCCCTGTCCCCGTCCCCTGTAGCTTGTTGTCCATGTTGTTGGTTTGAGGGAGGCACATGGCTCCAGGCGGACGCACCGCGCTTCCTCCTGTCCAGGACAGAAACCACCAGTTCTGAGTCAGGTTTTTTCTGCTTCTTATTGTTAAACTTCAGTGCAGTTTTTTAAAAARTAAACAAAATGAACTTAATCAAACTCAAAAGGCCCACCAGCACCTGGCTTTTACGGGACCTGCTGGCTGGCTCCCGGGTCCAAAAGAATAAAGCAGCAAACTCATGTAAGTAAATGTGATTATCAGAACCTGTGGTCCAACAGAGTCAGCAGCAGGATCCGGTCTAATGGCCTCTCTCTGCTGTTTGCAGCATTTACCCTGGGAGACATAATGGATGTAAGTCGAGCTCTCTGAGAGCTGTGGGTGGATTCTCTGCCACCGACAATGTGGGAGGTTTTAAAAGCTTGTTTTACCAGGTGTAAGTGAATTCATAAAAAACACAAACAGGTTGGTGTAAAAGTTTCAAACACGACATCATTCCCTGACAGCTGTTAAATGTGTGTTTTAAACCAGATTAATTGTAAATTAAATGATTTGTTTAATCAGATGTGGTTTGGATTAACGCGGGGTCACATGCAACCCTTGCGTCAACGCCCTGGGTGCTTGGTTACGGCCCCGTCGCCGGCGTCACGATGGAGTTCTCACCCTGGGCATGGGCTCTGGTGTGCAGCGATGGGGAGGGCGGGGCGCAGGGCACCACGGGCTGCTGGGAGCGCACGCCGGCCCCAGGGGGAGGCGGCGCCAGACCGAAAACCCCCCGCACGAAGCCTCCGATGAGAGCGGTCCAATCCACCGCCGGCACGACAGAGATCCGATGATGGCAGGGGGTGGGGGGGCAGAGGAGAGAGGCCGGCAGGAGAGGCAGGGTGTCAGTTAGCCGGGGTCGCCACTTCCTGCAGAGACAGGAAACGACAGATGAGTTTAATGGATCATCAAAATAAATCTGTGTTTTTCTCCATTTTCTTCAGTGTTCGGTTTGAGAAATGGAAAAATAAAAAACACGATTCTGCATTCTTTACAACTTTGTGGCTGCGTGTTCTTCTGATTCAGCATGACGACGCCCTGAAGCAACAAATCAACCAGTAAACTGTTCATTTCTTTGGTGTTTTATGGAAAAACTTGATGGAAACTAGGGCTGCACCGATTAGTTGAAATAATCGATGACGTCGATTATGTAAATTTGTCGACGCAGATTTTTTA